CATCAAAGAAAGAATATTAACATTTAACTTGCTTTATAGAGAAACATTGTAAAATTCCTTAGATCATGGTCATAAAAATGCAAGATAAATTCATTTAGCTGTAGCTGAGCAAAGTTTAGATAAACAAAGCAGGCCAGATTGAGTCCTGTAGGATAGCAAGTCATTGCAAAGAGACTTGGATGAAAGCTGAAATGTGCAGTTTAAACAAAGAAGTGTGCTATTTATCCTGGATTAAAGGAGCTGAAATGCACTCTTGTATTGGTCACAAAGTGACTTAATATTTGCATCAGAGAAAATTTCAAATGCCTGACATTAAAAATTTCCTATTTGTGTTAATCTGATGTAGGATCCAGTAGGGTTCCACTGATCTGTACTGTGCACCATATACTGAATAGAGCTTTTTGAGTGCATCTTGGTATTCCCTAATCCCTTTTTTTTTATTCATGATTTAAGAGCATGATTTAAGAGTTCCAAAGGCATGGAACATGGTGGAAAGAACAGATATTTTCTGTCAGAATTAAGCACAGCAGCTGTACAAGTACACTCTGGTTCCAAAACAGCTGACAGTTGAAGCTATCAGGTCCAATTTACAGAAATTAAAGGTACCTGAGATATGTTTTCACATACTGCCATTACATATCCTCTGACAGTATGGCCATATGCTTGTATATTTTTAATACTGATACATATTCTAGTGTCTCCAACACTTATTAGAACTGCAACACTTTTGAGATTTTTAATCCTTCAGGAATAAAGAGAATAATAAAAATCTACTTTTGAACAAACAGTTGTAGGAGAAATAATGTTAAACTTGCTTGACAATCAGTTTTCCTTTAATGTTTTCTGCTTGTCTCCTTTTTACTAGAAGATTTATAGAGCCTGATGGGAGAATCAGATTGAGAAATTAGCTTCCAGTTTAATTATTTGTTTTTTGCTTTACACATTGGCCACATAAGAGATCCTTAGAGGACCATCATCCTTGGGCTCAAGTCATCTGTGAAAAAGAAAGGGAAACACTTCAAATTGTGGCTGCACAGCACTTAATACTCAAACAGAGTTAATCTGAGAGGGGAGTTTAAATTGAAATAAGAGAGAGACACAGAAGCACACACATGGAGTTCTGAGCTGAAGTATCTGAATCCTGAGTAATGTTTGGTAAATCACAAAAAGCACAAGCATCTAGAAACGTACTGTAAACTGGTATGTTTAAGAATGCATATCAATAATAGATAAACAAACAGACCACATATACTGTCTCTGTTGACATTTATTGACTTTTTTGAATAAGAAAACATGGCTGACATCCATAATTTCTTTGAGCAAAACCTGTGAGACTTTACAAGCTGCTGCCTGCTTCAACCACAGCAGCCTGCTCTTGGTATATAAAGAGTTTAGATGGTCAGTAGATGAAGGAATGATCAGAATGCTAAGCAGAAATAGCTCAAAAAGATCTGAGAATATGTATTTGATATGAATATCATAATTTTATAGAGGCACCTAGATCAGTATGCACCACACTTCCTTTAGTTACTTGACAAGTGAACACAAAGTATTCAACTGAATACTGAGCAGAATTTTGTATTTATTATTTTTGATTTATTAGGACAGGCCAGTTGGAGTGAATTTTTTCAGGTTCTTTATACTTGTTCCAATAAAATGGATAATTCTTGCAAAATAAACAGGCAAAACATTTGTGTATTGTGTTCTCTGAAGGAAGAACCATGAAAAGATCCTTTTTATAGAATCCCATTCACAGTGGATCTGTTTTCATTTACAGTGCTATTTACATGGTTCAGTGTATGTTCTCAATTATCTCATGCCAGAAATCTAGATGTTTTAACTTTTGCTCATTTCAGTGCTTTCCTTACTGAAACAATTTGTCTTTTAGTAGCTTTGGATTTTTTATCGACATTTTTGTTTACTTTATAGGAAGCTGGAGTATTATTAGTAAATGGATCATTATGTCAATACTAGAGTGGAAAAAAATAGGTGCTGTAGAGAATTGCAATTATGTGGAATCACAGTTGAAACCAACTGTGTACATCTGTGCCAATTCTTCATATTTGAAATATTTTCTTTTTTTTTTTTTATTTCTCAAATTGATTTTGAGAATGCTAAATATATATAGGAGAGGATGGATTAGTCTATCTTTGTTGATATAATATGATAAGCTTTTGATTCTTTGTAAAAGGTTTCTTTTACAGCATCACAATCATGTAATATAGATTCCCACTGGTATATTAAACCAGTTTCTCATCTGATATGTGTACCAATGACAACTACTACTTAACATAAACCTTAGTCCTTCTAATTACCTATCAGTGATAAAAATGTCTAAATTCTTCAATCATGTTTTTCAGTATGGCAAGGGACTTCATAGATTTTTGCTTTTAAAGAATTAATAAATAAATAAATAAATAATAGTAATAATAATGTATTAGTTCTGAAGTTTTTTCATAAATAAAAGCTTAATGAAAAAGTTAGATTTTTATGTTGACCAAATGAATTTAATTCAGTGTCTTTCTACTAACCAACTCCACTATGTTGGCTTTACTTTTTCAGTGCATGGAAAAAAATGGGTGTTTAAAAAAAAAATTAAAAAGCAAATACAATGGTTACTGAATCAAACAGAGGAAGTTATAAATCTTCAAATCATATGCAGGACAGATTGGAACATTATAAGCTCTTCAGGTTTTCTTGAATAATATACCTAATAACTCATTATAGGCAAGTAGGAAATCTGTTTTCAAATTCTTTTACTTCTAAGCAAAAATATAATTTATGTTAAAGGGAGATTTTCTTGGTGGGAGTTTTCTTCCAAAAATGAATGCAAGTACCTTTTCAGAAAATACTCTTTGAAAGCTAGGAGGTTTTGTTGCAGTCACTGTTCAGGACACTGCCTTGCACTGTAAAAGAGTAGCAAGGAAGAGAAGAATAGATTGTGTCCAACTCCAAAAATGAGAGTTTAAAATGAAACCACAGTGCAGATGCCTTTTAACACTCAAAAAAACACTTAGTCCTGGTACCCAAATGCAAGGGTTTTTGGAAGCCAAATGTTTTATTTTCCCTGGAGCTGATTGCTGTGAGTCTGTACTCAGTGAGAGTCATAACAGGAATGTCCCAACTGCATCTGCTTTTAGCAGGAGCTTTTTGCAGCAAATAACCTTTGGAGGGATCTCAGAACATGAATTACCTTGTAATATTTTGGTACTTTGATAATTTCTTCTGCAATACAATATTTTGGGTTGCACAGCCATACTTTTAAAATATGGACTCTAATTAATGACAGAAAAGAACCCATATTAAGTGAAATCAGCCAGGGAGGTAATCAGTTTTCTCCATAGGAATGCAATGTATCAGAAGAGCTTTCAGGAAGAGACCCATCTAAAGCTAACAACACTGGATCTGTACAAAGGACTTCCCTTAAAATCAGGACTTATTTCTGCTATCAAAATCAATGCATAAGCTATCCAGATGGAAAGTTCAATTTCTTAATTAGTAATAGGTGTAGACATTTGAAGAAAGTAATAGCTATAGTTTAAAATTGGTCATCTTAGAAAATGTGCACGGACAAAATTAGAAATACAAATTATTATTTTCAGCTTCTGTTTATCATTTCCCTGGAACTTGGTGGGTTTTTGGTGCTAGATGGTTTTATAGTCAGGAAAAGTGTTGTATACCACCAGACAGAAAGAACTTCCCTATAAGTTAGTGTAATGTAATGTACCAAACAATCTGTTCAGAATTTACATCAAGTAAACTCCTAAGGTTTTAAATATCTCTTCAGAACTGGAAGCTTTCTGAGGTTTTCCATTGCTGTTTTATGTATAACAATGGATTAAGTCATACATGTACACCTCTGGCAACCCAGGCACGTGGCCATCAGGGAAACAGGGCATCCTGCTGGTGGGAGCAGTGGAGGCATGGCTCTCCCCAGCCTGCTGCAAACTCTGCCAGGTTGCAAGGCTCCCAGAGGAAACCTCCGCAAAATCCCTCGCCCCAAATAAAAAGGCTGACCTGATGTATTTTATGTCTTGTTTGCTGATACTGTGCTTACCATCTCATAAAACAGGAAAGCTTTGAATTGTGTTTTTGTGTTTTTAAGTGTTTGCAGTTCCAGGACATTTATTGCACCTTAACCTCATGGTTAAAAAGAAAAATAAAGAAAAGCAGAAACTATGAATAGCAAGTTCAGCAATGAACATTCATATATCGAGTCTTACATTAAATACAAACCAGCATGGCCAGAATCTCTTAAAAACTTCTATTTCTTGCCTGTTAAATAAAATGAAACAATTGAAATTTAATATTGTTATTATTTCTAAAATTGCATTTGAGTCCTGGTGATGTCATTAAGTACTCATGTAGAAGGAGTTATCATATTTCAAAATAAATGTTTAACAGACTGTGCTCTGCCAGAAAAGTGATAATAGTAAACAATGACTTTTTGTTGTAAAGTACTATCCTTCTAGAATTTATGGTAGGAAAAAGATTTCTTTTTTTGCTGCTTATAGCCTATAATTGGCAAGTTTTGCACTACCTTCCTTGGCATGAAAGTGCTGCTTCAACTATAGAAAAATACTAAATCATTTTAGAGAGATTTGCTGTCATAACCCAAAAATTTAAACAGTTAATCTCATTAGAGGAGTTAAAGATATCGAGAAAGATGTGTGAAATGAAGAAATATGACTTTGAAAGAGACTGGTTAATACAGTGCATAAACATATATATAAGTGATCCTACTTATTGTTAAATGTGGAATACAACATGGGCATATGGCTTTACAGGTGAGTGCATGTACATATATACTACATTTGCAGTTGCAAAAAACTTTTTGGAATTGCTGTTTTTCTTCTCTGACTTCGTGGAATGGGATCTAGAGAAACATCATGAAGAGACTAATGCTTTTTTTTTCTCACTAAGTTATCATTTCCATCCCTGCTTTCTTGCTTGCTTGTTTTACCTTCTTTGCAAGATTAACTCTGTATTTTCTGTAACAGGCACATAGTTGTCTGTGGTCACATAACACTTGAAAGTGTGTCGAACTTCCTGAAGGACTTCCTGCACAAGGATAGGGACGATGTCAATGTAGAAATCGTCTTTCTGCATAAGTGAGTAATCTTTCAACATTGCTCTTGTCATCTGTTACTAAAACTCATTAAGTTAAGCTGTATCTTCTGGGAAGACAGAATATTTAAAGCTCCATAAAACCATAAAATTAATATTTGCATATATGTTTATTTATGTCTTGAGAGAAGTTTTTTCCCCTGCATTTTCCATAACCCACTACTAAGTATATTTGTTGCAAGCAGACAGACTTCAAATCCAGTTGTGTTGTCTGTGAGGTACATAGCTAAATGCATAGTTGGAGTGGGGATTGGATTATGAAATAAAAAATATTGAAATGCAAATAAATACATCAGAGTTTTTTTTAGTGGTAAATATTTCTAAGGAAACTACCAAATTGGCAACATCAGTAAAATTAATGAAAAGTATATATGTTGTATAAACTTAAGGTATCTGAAAATACCTTTTCACCCTACTGAAATCAAAAACTGAAACCTCACCATACTAGATTTCTCTAGGAAAGAAACGCTTATTTCAAATTGCACAGTATTTATAAAATGAAAAATGTAGGTGCAGGATCAGTTTTAATATAACAGATACTTTACAAATCTATTGATGATAGAAATGAATTTTTTGTCATGGTGATAATCAGTACTGCTCTTTATTATGTTACATACCTACACACACGTAGTATCCTGCATTTTTCTGATGTAGAAATTGGAAAGGTGTCTTAATGAGGCTGGTGTTTCTTGCAGGCTCTACATGATGTGTATGTTAATATAATTTAATAAATAATACAATGCCTAATATCTATGCCTAGGGGAGGAACTGCTAGAAAAAGCCTTATGATAGGAAACAGTATAGTTTCTGTTCCGTAATGGCATCTGTTTAGAAGAGTTGCAAGTTAAAAGTAAATAATATTTTTGCATTCAGCAATGAATTCTGCAATTTTGTCAAGGAAAATGATTAAAAAGTCAAGGAATCATTTGTGATGACTTAGCAGTGGAAACTGAGAACTAAGAATCAGCAGCACTTGCACAATTTTTTCATCTAGTCCTTTCAATTTGAACAAGTGATGATATCTTCAAGGAACTGCATAATTTTTTTTTGCATTCCCTCTCTATGTAATAACAAGTGACTGTGAGAGGAAATTTGAGATCAGGATTTCCACAGTGAAAATATGTGGTAGGAATCAGGAAACTGCACATTCACATGAAATGAGTTTAGCACCTTGCTGCTTGTTTGTGCCTGTAGCTATTAAATCCCTTCTATTTTAATGAGTGGCACCAGAAAAGATATTTACAATGTTGGTCCACGTTATGTAATTGACTGTAATCCATTTAATTTTTCTTTTGTTTCCGGCAAAATGAAATGAGACAGAAAGTCACAGCATCATTATGTTTGTTTTAATTGTAGCTCATGCAGGCCACAGGGTCCCTGTCTGCTTTCTTTTCCTGATTTTTAGTGATCTTGCATTGAGCTGTTTTATTCAACACAGTCAGGCATTGTGGGAATGATGGGACATACAGAGGATGGTTTTGGTACTTTATAATTCCTGGGTAGAATGCTGGGAGAGGATGTTTTCAAATGGTTGCACCCATACTTCTGGATTCACATCCCTTGGAAATGTACACAGGATGGATGTGGAGAGTAGCACAAGGTGGGCCAGAAGCACTGCAGACAAAAGCAAGGTAGTGTTTATCTTTTAAGCAAGGCAAGCTGTTTCCACACCACAGAAAAAGAATCAGCAGAAGTCTGGATATCTAAAATGAATAAATGGATGGGGTTGTAAATGCAGGAAATGGAGCAGTTATGGAAACTGACTTCTCATTTGCTCTTGTGTTTCCTTCCTCTTTCCAATGCAGTATCTCCCCTAACCTTGAGCTGGAAGCTCTTTTTAAACGACACTTCACTCAGGTGGAATTTTATCAGGGTTCAGTCCTTAATCCCCATGACCTGGCAAGAGTGAAGGTAACAGCTCTGTTGTTCTGTTCTCCTGCTATTTGACCTGTTTCTAAGTACTCCTTGCATGATTTAGAAAAAATCCTGCTAAAGCCCTTCATGTAACCCCAAAAGAGTGTTTTTCCATCTCTATTATCTTAAGCAATAAATTATATCTATCCTGGTAAACCTTTTTTACCCATATCTTAGATCTTCAAAGCTGCAGCAGCAGTGACTTAAGATACATTGTCTGCCGTTCCATTCAACTCTTTATGAATTTTTCATTGGTGTTTCTCAAAAGTGTGTTTTACATTAATGTTTGATATAGCAAGATATTGTCTTACAGTAATTGCTTAAAATGCTGTTATCTTATCAGAACAATTAAAATTTTTTTTTTCACCCTCCAAACCCCTTTTCTGTTGTCTAGAATCCTTAAAGAAAAATCTGAGATTTTTGGGAGATAAAATGAGATAGTTTTGCTTATTTAGATATTTATTTTTTAGACTTTCTAAATAGTAAACTATTTCATTCTCTTAAAGCATGAAGCTTTAAAAAAAAAAGAAAATTAAAAAAAAAGCAAGTTGTCACATACATTGTTAACTTTTTTGTTTCTTTTCTCCCCAATGGAATGTAAATTGATTACTTAAGCCAAGAATATTTTAGTACAGTGGTATTAACACTTTCTGGAGTACTAATCGTGTTTTTTGTCCATTTTGACCACGGAAATTGCTTAAGATTTTTGTAGCCCAATGCACACTGTTTCAGTTCATCAGAGCATGTTCTAATTATGACCATAAAATCGCGTGTTCTTATTTTATCTTCTGTATTCCACCCTTCTTTGTGTTGATATTTGGTTGTATACACTGGAAGATACTTTTGTCATCTGCTTTGAGTTCTGTAAAGCTCAGGTTTGTGTGAATCTAGAGGTGCTGTGAATAGAGCAGTTTTCCTCCTCTTGCTTTCTATATCTGGTGCTCATATTCTACATCAGTTCAGCCACCTCTTCCTGTCTTGAATAGGAAGGCATTTAAATTCCCAAACAAAGCTGCAGGACTTGTGAGAGGACTGTACTGATGTAACAGGAACTTCCCATGAATTTAGAAGTCCAAATTCCAGTATCTGGTTACAAAAGATTAACATTACTGCCTTTGTGGTCGAGCTGATACAAAGTAAGAGTCGTCAATTGAACTGCTGAGCTGCTCTGATCATCGTAAGCAAATTTCAAGAAATTCTCTGTGTCCGTGAGAATGATCATAATCACTGGCATGAACTCATGTCAGCCTAGAAACGTTTTTGATTAGCAGTATTGAGAACTGACACTCACACTCATGCAGCCAGTGCTGGATTCCCTGATAGCTTATGAGGAAAGAAGAGCTGGAAAGAGAAGTTGCTTTATATGTTTCCTTTTTCTTTGGTGTCTCAGATAGAGTCAGCAGACGCGTGCCTAATCCTTGCCAATAAATACTGCGCTGACCCAGATGCTGAAGATGCCTCCAATATTATGAGGTAAACTCTGCAGTTTTTAATAGTTTTTTGGTTCTTAACTCTGATTAGCTAATTTTATATCTGATCTGTTGCACTGAAAGAACACTGTAGGATTTTGAGTTTTTTTAGAGGACAAATTAAAAGATCCTCACAAAAGTCCAGAGGTGAGAATACCCTAAATTCCTACCTCAACTGTTTCATCTGTCTTTAGTGTGTCAGAAGAGACACTTGGAGCACAGGCTTTGGCACTCTTGGTCACTTTGCAGGAGCTAGAGTATTTCCAGGTGAAGGCAGAGAGGAAAGGGAGTGCTGCAACAACGCATGGCGTGAGTGCTCACAGTGCGGGGCTGCTGTCAACAGTGGGGCAGAAACACCTTCAGCCCTTCCTTCCCTGCTGCTCCTTGGTGGATCTGCTCCTACAAGTAGAGCACTGCTCAGGGGATAGCAAAGCATACAAGGGAGTTGTCTCCTCTCTCCATCCTGCTTGTTTCACACTGGAGACCGATCATTGCTTGTTTTGATTGACAAGGCATTTACGACATTAGGGACGACCAGATCTCCTGCTTCCCTCCTTGTAGTCTCTGAAGGGAGGAGATGGAACAGTCAGTCAGTAGATGGCAGCTAGAGTTACAACAAACCTAAGCCATTCCATTTTTTTTTGTTTTCTTCATGCAATACTAGTTTTAATGAGACCAATCTCCTTTTAAAAACTAAAATCTCAGTCAGTGATTGATTAAAAGTTCTCTAGAATTGGATTGGCCAGTGTTACAAATGGATTTTACTGGCTTGTCAGATGTTTGCATGCTGTGTATTGAAGGAAGGGGAGAAATAAAAAAATGCTACTAAAATTGCTCTTCTGGAAAAATACCACTGTGTGCAAGAGATGTAGCCATTGGAGAAAGACACAAGGCTAAAATATACTTAGTTTCATTTTACAAACATGATTTGAGTTGTAATGAAAGAAACTTTATTTTAATATTGATTGCATAAATATATTAAAAATATTCCATTCACAGATTGATGCATTCTTAGTAGATTTAATACCTTTAATGTAATAAAATGCAAAAATTGTAATGTAAGAGTGGAATTCTCTTATGTTTTCTCACAATTTAAGTTAAAAAATTTAATGTTTAAACAGTTTAGCAATAAATGGAAAATTAGAAGAACGACTTGTTAAAATAATGCAATTTTTTTAATGTTTCCTGTTCTAGCTTTGATGTGCTTAAAAGCACAAGCCAGACCAGAAGTTTACAATATATGTTCTACAAAACACCAATGTAAACACTTACAGCATTCAGTCTTGTGAGACTGATGATTTCATAATAAGTCAGATTTCTTTTCATTGTTTTATCTTATTTTTCTATCTTTAGTCTTTAAATACAAGAGGTTTTATTTTTTTTGGCTGTTCATCTCTTTAATTTTGCGCAATGCTTTCTTATAGCACACTATCAGTTCATGCATTTCTCAAACATTTTTCTTTCCAACCACTTAAAATCAAATACACAGTTGAATGTATCCTGGATTCATTAAATAATTTAGAACATAGAAAATGTGAGGATTATGGAAGTAGCCCCATGTTTTATAAATTCAGCATTCAGCTATCAGTTTTTATATTGATCTTTGGATAAATCCATCAAAATTAAGATGAATTTGCATGTGTAACACAACAAAATCATTATTCAAGGTATTTAGATACGATGAATGTCTAGCAGCTGTAAATAAATAATATATGATGGGACAGGAAGAAATTGATTCTTTCAGGCATTTATCATTCAGAAACTTTATCAAGTATGTTGATTCAAAGACATGATAATCACTGAGGATGATGTAACAATTCCAACTATGCTATTTTCCTAACAGAATGAGATCTGAACAGAGCTGCTAAAACAAGTGTCTTTTTCTGCAAACTCCATAAGAGCAAACCATTCAACTGCACATTTCCTGAGGCTTATTGCTTTCTAGTACTAGCCACCAATTCTTACCTCAGTGTGACTGTGTGTAAATATCTCAAAGGTTTGACATCAATCAGTTTGTTTTACGAGCAGATGAATAAGGGGGTACAGTTTTAGTTGTGGGACTTGACAAAACAGTAAAATAGAGGTATTTGGATGCATTATCCAAATACCCTATCAGTTAAAAGTTATCTTAATAGGTTTTTCCTTCTCTTTTTAGAGTTATTTCCATAAAGAATTATCATCCGAAGATAAGAATTATCACTCAGATGTTGCAGTACCACAATAAGGTAATGTGATGGCCACTGTTTCTGCTCACAGTATTTTGCTACATTGCATTCACTCATACATACTTTTTCTAGTTCCTGTAACAGCAAGAATTTTTCTTCAGTTACAAAGTAATTTAATTTTTTTTATATATGCAAGGGACTTTATCAAAATCATGACATTTATTAATTGCCTGGGATCTAATTCTCAAGGCTACAGTGTCCATAGTTGTTATTGACTCCAGATGACCTTTCACCACTTAAATTCTGTAAGTTCTGCTCTTACTGGAGGTTATTATGATTTTTTGATTCTGGCACAACCATGTAGACCTGAAATTGCCAAGTAGTGGGTACAAAATAAATAAATTTAGGTGTTTTCTATACAAAATAAATAAATTTAGGTGTTTTCTAATATAAAACATATCTCAGTTGTGGAATATGGTACTAAGAGTATTGTGAAGTTCAAAATTACAAATCCACTTTGGAAAGGAATTTGAAGAAACATTTTGATGGTAAATTTGTGACCTTTGTACACAATGAAAGTCAATTTATTGAATCCTGAGATGAGAAGGTCCATGAACTGCTGACTTACAGGGTTATGAAGGATGTATCAGATAACACAGTACTCATATGTGACCTGCTTCTTTTATTAGCTCTGAAAGAATCAACCACTGCCCAGTGTTTGAGAAAAAGCTTGGCTGGCTAAACCTTTCAATGAAATACACAATAAATCTGGTGCCAGGAAGGTTTGATAACAACTCCTTATACCTGTAACCTGTTGCTACAACAAGAGCAGCTACTGCTGCTTGTTATGTCCTCTTCCCATATGTTATAGAAGAAGCCTGTCTTTATAGAATCAAAGCAAGGTGTTTCTCTGCTTTAAACAGCCACAGAGGGGAAGTTTTTTTAAATGCTTCAGTTTGTTTGCTATTCCAATGGTTATGTATGGTTATAGCTTTTATCAAAGTGCTGAACTGTGGAATTAACTTAGGAGGGGAAACAAGGAGGAAAGACTCTGTGCTTCCTTGTATCTGTGCAAATGTAAAAGTTACGTTAGTGAAAATCCAACAGAGTTAAGCCAATAACTGAACAATATTTATACTTATCTAAGTGATCTATTTCAATACTTCAGATGTGTCTTGCTCAGTTATTTTCTTCATTCTGTCCTTAGAAATAGCATTCTTAGAAAAAAAAGTTTTGATTTTCTCTGTCAAGTACTGTTGTTCAAAGTGGAATGAAATAGAAAAGACAGAAGATGCTGTATATGTTTTTAAATTATAGTATCCTTTAAAGGTTTCAGCTTCACGTTAGTTGTAATCTAAGTGTATTAGTTTCCTGATGTGTGTTCCTTATCAGTCAGACAGTAGCTCAAAGTGCTGTAAGGGGAGCATGCAGAAGGGAAGGAAAGCTTCTCCATATTCTGCTTGCTCAGGTGTGAGGACAGATCTGACAGAGTGCCACAGCCAGTATGTCTTGAGAAATGTAGGATTTTATCTCTAGTAGGTAAGAGTGGAACATTCCTTTGCATAGAATTAAGCTCTGAAACACCTGAAGTGCTTCTGCCTACTCAGAAAAAGTCAAGTTAAGAAAGTCATTCACTGCTGTCTTCCATTTCTGGTTCTTCACCTGTGGGATATTGTGTTTGTTTGTTTGTTTATTTTCCAGGCCCATCTACTAAATATCCCAAGCTGGAACTGGAAAGAAGGGGATGATGCAATCTGTCTTGCTGAGCTGAAGCTGGGTTTCATAGCCCAGAGCTGCCTGGCACCGGGCCTTTCAACAATGTTAGCCAACCTCTTCTCTATGAGGTCATTCATAAAGGTAATGCCTTATCTCATTAGAACATACTAGTCTGCCATTCAGGTAGTCTGAGACTGGAGTAGAGAACATGACTCAAATGTGAAACAGATAGGCATTAACAGATTTTTTAAGACTGAAAAATACCAGCACACACTTCCATGCTAAAGTTTTTTTCTGAAAATTGAGCAATAAGCCAGGTTCTATCAATTTGTGGATTTGTGGGGTTTTTTTATTATTTTTTTTTAATTTGCTGCTGCTAAAACGAAAATACAATTTATCTAAGTCCCATGTAGCAGCAAAATGCCAAGAAAAAGGGACTGGTCATCTTGGTCTTTTACATTCAGAAATTAATGGACCTCCGGCTGTGAGTAAATAAGGAACATGTGTTAGAACTGAGGCCCAAACTTCCCATAACATCACTCATGTATTTGTTTCTCCTCAGTCTAAGANATTTTACTGGCTTGTCAGATGTTTGCGTGCTGTGTATTGAAGGAAGGGGAGAAATAAAAAAATGCTACTACAATTGCTCTTCTGGAAAAATACCACAGTGTGCAAGAGATATAGCTATTTGAGAAAGACACAAGGCTAAAATATACTTAGATTCATTTTACAAACATGATTTGAGTTGTAATGAAAGAAACTTTATTTTAATATTGATTGCATAAATATATTAAAAATATTCCATTCACAGATTGATGCATTCTTAGTAGATTTAATACCTTTAATGTAATAAAATGCAAAAATTGTAATGTAAGAGTGGAATTCTCTTATGTTTTCTCACAAGTTAAAAAATTTAATGTTTAAACAGTTCAGCAAGAAATGGAAAATTAGAAGAACGACTTGTTAAAATAATGCAATTTTTTTAATGTTTCCTGTTCTAGCTTTGATGTGCTTAAAAGCACAAGCCAGACCAGAAGTTTACAATATATGTTCTACAAAACACCAATGTAAACAATAATAAGTCAGATTTCTTTTCATTGTTTTATCTTATTTTTCTATCTTTAGTCTTTAAATACAAGAGGTTTTATTTTTTTTTGGCCTTTCATCTCTTTAATTTTGTGCAATGCTTTCTTATAGCACACTATCAGTTCATGCATTTCTCAAACGTTTTTCTTTCCAGCCACTTAAAATCAAATACACAGTTGAATGTATCCTGGATTCATTAAATAATTTAGAACGTAGAAAATGTGAGGATTATGGAAGTAGCCCCATGTTTTATAAATTCAGCATTCAGCTATCAGTTTTTATATTGATCTTTGGATAAATCCATCAAAATTAAGATGAATTTGCATGTGTAACACAAAATCATTATTCAAGGTATTTAGATACGATGAATGTCTAGCAGCTGTAAATAAATAATATATGATGGGACAGGAAGAAATTGATTCTTTCAGGCATTTATCATTCGGAAACTTTATCAAGTATGTTGATTCAAAGACATGATAATCACTGAGGATGATGTAACAATTCCAACTACGGTATTTTCCTAACAGAATGAGTATCTGAACAGAGCTGCTAAAACAAGTGTCTTTTTCTGCAAACTCCATAAGAGCAAACCATTCAACTGCACATTTCCTGAGGCTTATTGCTTTCTAGTACTAGCCACCAATTCTTACCTCAGTGTGACTGTGTGTAAATATTTCAAAGGTTTGACATCAATCAGTTTGTTTTACAAGCAGATGAATAAGGGGGTACAGTTTTATTTGTGGGACTTGACCAAACAGTAAAATAGAGGTATTTGGATGCATTATCCAAATACCCTATCAGTTAAAAGTTATCTTAATAGGTTTTTCCTTCTCTTTTTAGAGTTATTTCCATAAAGAATTATCATCCGAAGATAAGAATTATCACTCAGATGTTGCAGTACCACAATAAGGTAATGTGATGGCCACTGTTTCTGCTCACAGTATTTTGCTACATTGCATTCACTCATACATACTTTTTCTAGTTCCTGTAACAGCAAGAATTTTTCTTCAGTTACAAAGTAATTTAGTTTTTTTATATATGCAAGGGACTTTATCAAAATCATGACATTTATTAATTGCCTGGGATCTAATTCTCAAGGCTACAGTGTCCATAGTTGTGATTGACTCTAGATGACCTTTCACCACTTAAATTCTGTAAGTTCTGCTCTTACTGGAGGTTATTATGATTTTTTGATTCTGGCACAACCATGTAGACCTGAAATTGCCAAGTAGTGGGTACAAAATAAATAAATTTAGGTGTTTTCTAGTATAAAACATATCTCAGTTGTGAAATATGGTACTAAGAGTATTGTGAAGTTCAAAATTACAAATCCACTTTGGAAAGGAATTTGAAAAAAATATTTTGATGGTTAATTTGTGACCTTTGTACACAATGAAAGTCAATTTATTGAATCCTGAGATGAGAAGGTCCATGAACTGCTGACTTACAGGGTTATGAAGGATGTATCAGATAACACAGTACTCATATGTGACCTGCTTCTTTTATTAGCTCTGAAAGAATCAACCACTGCCCAGTGTTTGAGAAAAAGCTTGGCTGGCTAAACCTTTCAATGAAATACACAATAAATCTGGTGCCAGGAAGGTTTGATAACAACTCCTTATACCTGTAACCTGTTGCTACAACAAGAGCAGCTACTGCTGCTTGTTATGTCCTCTTCCCATATGTTATAGAAGAAGCCTGTCTTTATAGAATCAAAGCAAGGTGTTTCTCTGCTTTAAACAGCCACAGAGGGGAAGTTTTTTTAAATGCTTCAATTTGTTTGCTATTCCAATGGTTATGTATGGTTATAGCTTTTATCAAAGTGCTGTACTGTGGAATTAACTTAGGAGGGGAAACAAGGAGGAAAGACTCTGTGCTTCCATGTATCTGTGCAAATGTAAAAGTTAAGTTAGTGAAAATCCAACAGAGTTAAGCCAATAACTGAACAATATTTATACTTATCTAAGTGATCTGTTTCAATACTTCAGATGTGTCTTGCTCAGTTATTTTCTTTATTCTGTCCTTAGAAATAGCATTCTTAGAAAAAAAAAAGTTTTGATTTTCTCTGTCAAGTACTGTTGTTCAAAGTGGAAGAAATGAAATAGAAAAGACAGAAGATGCTGTGTATGTTTTTAAATTATAGTATCCTTTAAAGGTTTCAGCTTCACATTAGTTGTAATCTAAGTGTATTAGTTTCCTGATGTGTGTTCCTTATCAGTCAGACAGTAGCTCAAAGTGCTGTAAGGGGGACATGCAGAAGGGAAGGAAAGCTTCTCCATATTCTGCTTGCTCAGGTATGAGGACAGATCTGACAGAGTGCCACAGCCAGTATGTCTTGAGAAATGTAGGATTTTATCTCTAGTAGGTAAGAGTGGAACATTTCTTAGCATAGAATTAAGCTCTGAAACACCTGAAGTGCTTCTGCCTACTCAGAAAAAGTCAAGTTAAGAAAGTCATTCACTGCTGTCTTCCAT